ATTTCCACAGTCACTTTAACTTAACTACTCTTATAAACACACGCTATAATTCACAGCGAATCACACACTTTACTTAATGTGCCTACTGTTCACTTGATTCAGTTATCTCTATCTTCAATCTATCTATCGCTGGCTTATATACTAAAAAAGAGGGCGTCTAGCAAACACTGGGACATTTGTGAGGTTCTCCGATAAGTCATGATCCTTCTAGAAACTCCAGCGTGACTTCCGCTGTCGTAACACTATCAATAAATAATCTTCTAATATTATTGTATGACCTAAAGTTAAACCTTTTGAAAAACTTTGATAGGCTTTTAATATGTTGTATAAAATGTCTACTAAAGTATATTTACGTCCTTTCTCGCATAACTCGACGATTGAACAAAGATGCATTTTCAATTTGCACAAAAATTGCAATTTTTTGTACATTTTAGTCCAAATATATCTAATTTTTTATCAATCGTAGACTACTCGCTTCTAATTGATAAGAATCCAAACTACTTAAATTACGTAATAAGTTGCTATGACATCATTGCGTGACCGAGAGACAGATACGCACAGTATTTTAAATATCTGTATAAACGCAACAAAACACTACAATCCTTGTACTCTTTTATTTTTTTCTCTTCTTTGTTATTTTCAAATGACATTGTCTAAATTTTTGATAAGCTTAAACTAATTTATATTGAAGTATATTCTAATGTATTTAAGAATTGTATATATATATAAATATATATATTTTTGACATTCTGAAAAAAGTGTGTATTTAAGACAGGTTGAGTTTTGTTGAAATGTGGTATTAGAACGCTTTTATTATAGATTTTTCTGTATAATTATGTCATGAAGTCACGAAATCAGTGTCGGGAAACAGACAAAAAAAAAAAGATGAAAACAAAACATATCAACGACTGTAGTGTCTTGCTATTTGTATTCACGCATGAAAACCTGTATGTGTTTTATTTCTGCATGTATATGTGATTACAAATATATACACACACATAGCCTGGCAAACACCAGTTTCATCACTAACTTTCCAGTTTCGAAAGAAAAGATTTGTTGAAAAGTAGATTTATAGCGCCTCTTGAAAAGTAGTTTATTAAAAAACTGGTTCACTATTTGAGCTACATCGTGACAGGTTTGTATTATATGGGAGTAGTATCTTTCTTTTTATGCTTCCCAATGAGACAACGTATGTCTACAAATTTAAAACGCTAAAAACGAACAATGACAGAGCGTTTTACTTTAAAAGATGACTGCCACTCACTTTCCTTTATTTCTCTATCCAACAATCCCAACACCAAGGAAAGAAACCAGACAAGAAAGTCACCAACCCACGAAATTGTTCACCTTTCTTCTTGTTTTAGCCGAGTATAAATAACTCTACAACTATTTTATCACTAACGTCAATTTAAACCTAAAGCCACTCAATGTGTTCCTGGGCAGTGCGTGAAGGTATTGCTTAGTCACAATAACTAGTAGTAATAACTAATATATATACTTCCAGTGTAAAGGAAGTTAGCTTTTTCACAGAAACCTGGTGTTCCTGTAAAAAGATTAAGTACAGGGTGAAACAGAAATTACCAGCCAATAATAGATGAACATCAGATGACTGTAACTCAATGCTTTGTACAGAATACAATCAGTGTCTTTAGAGAGCCAATTCCCATATTATGTGGGAATTAAAAGAGTAAAAAAATAAATACATTTAATTTTCATTACACACATTCATAGAATACACTAGTTTTCAGTCAGGGTAAAAAAAGGTCACACAACAAGTAATTAAAAATATTTTCTTTTTTGTTTGTTTGTAATTAAGCACAAATCTACACAATGGGTTATCTGTGCTCTGCCCACCACGGGTATCAAAACTCGGTTTCTAGCGTTGTAAGTCCGCAGATATACCGCTAAGCCATTGGGGGGCAAAATATTTTGTAAATTCAAAATGATGTAGGAATGGCAATGTCAAAAGGAATGAACAAGAATATAGACATGATATAGCTAGACATAAATTATCCCTACATGGCTTTCAATAACAAAATTTGATGTTACACTGTAAAACGCACGAGTACAAAATGGTTACGAGATCGACAAGTTCGACTGACATCGTAACGGAAATCTGTAATAATGAAGACATGTTTGACTCGACTTGGTTTTCTTTGTAAGTAAGTCTTAGGATCTTAGTTACACTATATTGGTGCCTACCCTGACATGAACATGATATTATATCAAACAAACTATACCAAGAGTCAGGAATATATAACTTCCAACTACAGTAATATTAAAGTCAAGTATATATTTTTGTTCAAGATTTCAACAATTCAAGGCTATTTTAATACAGCAACTAAATCACAACATAAATGACTAAAAATCAGTAATAGTTCAGGAAGGAGTAAGAGGTCTACAGTTGAACCTGACCTTAAATCCCCAAGCTGAAACGAGAACAACGATAAAATATAAAAATAAATAAATATTTATTCAGGTATTTAATTTCAAAAATAAAGAAAATCTTCTCAACTGAGGTGTTCAGAGATATTAGTATTCCCCTTCGCTCCGCTCGTGAAGATCAAATTTAATTAAAGTGGGCTTTTAATAACTGTATTATGATATAAATCCTGCTTAAATTTTCCAATGGGGATTGGTAAAGGCAGAGATGGCGAAGCAAAAGGTCAAGGTTGATATCCCTGGTTTCGACAAATTTTGACGGCGGGGATCTATAAATACAATGCCGCGGAATTTGTTGTGAGGGGAAAACGAGGGTACCTCAAGAAATCCCACTTTCACAGAACAGGCGCCGAATAATCTACGTGTCCTATGCGCAGAAATAAAATATTATGAATTATGTATTCTATTTAATTTTGAAACGTGAAGTGCCGCAAGTCGCCGCACCAGTTCCATATACCAGTCAAGAGCGCCGAGCTATTATATCACCGATCACATGGAAGTGGGGGCGGCAAGTAAAAACTACCTAGAGCGGCACTACACTGAAATATTATGAAAAAAGTCTGAAACCATTACTTTCCATACCTTTTACGACGTTTCTCCATTGCTAAAACGTAATTCAGTTTCTCGTGGAATAGATAAAAAAAAATCTTTTTAAAAACCTAATTTTTTTAAAGAATCAGCGTTACTCTTTAACCCTAGAATTGCCAATGGAACTTGTATGACCCAACTAGGTTTTTAAACGCATATTCCAAAACTATTTACACATTAAACTGCGTATTGGTCCATGAATATCTCGAATACAAGGTTCCTTAGGAGTCTGATAAAATATTGTAAACAAACCTGAATATATTTAATATTGCACTTCCAATTAATTAACCCGGGGATCCCTTGTGTACTTTATATAAAAATGAGTGATTTCTCTCAAATGTTTCGGACAGTTCATCACACTGAATTTGTAACAGATACTAACATTAAAATCATTAAATGCGATGCAATATGTGGATGACTTCAGTATTGAACTGTATAAAAAACAATTTGATGATTAATTATACTAAGGGATGTTTTTCTCTAGGAAGAAATACTGGGAACCCTTCAAAAAAACACTAGCATTCTCAACCGGTAGAAATAACACCAAAAATCAATATTTAACCTTTAAAGAATTAGTGGTAGTTTTTTTGGGCTAGTTAAGCTGTACAGTAGCAAGTTCTAAGATATGTAATGTTATTCTAAGTATAACTATTTGGCAGTTTGAATGATAGATAGAAAACAGCTAAAAGTTGTTATTGAGAAGGAAATCTGAAAAATTTTGATCTAATTGCTCAAGTGTCTAATCACCAGTTCAGAAAAGCAGATTTTTTCACTTCAATAGCAGCTTTTATTCAGTTATAAACAATTCTTTGCATTTATGTCAAACAAGAGCTATACTGAGTTTTGAGTTGTGATCAAGTTAGAGATTAATTAAACAGAACATCTGTGGCAAAACAGTAAAATTATCCTCAATTAAATACTTTTATATGCCAAGAAAGTTACAGTTCAGATTTGACATGATTGAGTTTGTACATAATAAAGTTCAAAGATAGAAAACTAAAATAATAAGCCCAGTAAAAGAGGTATGAGGCTATGGGCAACACTGTACTAAGGATTCTCCCTGTTTGTATAATTTGGTGCTCAAGATTACTTTCTAAAACAAATAATCACGATTCAACAGCTTGTTCCTGGTAGTCAAAACCAGAACAACTTGTTCCTTCTTCTAGTAATCACAGGCCTTTTCATGGATCCCTTCATTGTTGGATTCCCAATAATTTGTATGTTCTACAACCATTGGTTTCTGTAAGTAATGAATCATTTTCTAATCTTATCATTCTAATCAATAGAAGTTTTAATTAAATCCTTATATACTAATATTGGAAATAAAATTGGGAGAAAACTGCTGTCTGACCATTTGTTAACAAAAAAGCAGGAGACTTTCAAAAATATTCAGGCTCTCCTGCAATGAAGACTAAAATTAATTATAACACAACATTTTTATTAACTAAATATCCTAAAACTGTAAATAAAAATACACTTGAATGAAGTAATCAAACCTTTCAAAATAAAAACATACAATTATTATGCCTCCACTTCAAAGCAGAATGGTGCATCTTAGTTGTTCCTTTTTGTATATCAATTTGTCTGGCTGTCTGTCCAGAACTTATGGACAGGATATATGAAGATTAGATTGATGGAGTTTGACCAAACTTAAATAAAAGGTACCACACTCAATGTTTTAGTCCTGATTAGCTTTTGATGGTTTCAGGTAGTGCATAGAAAATCTGTTTATATCTTGTAGAGACATCATGTCTGAAGGCTGGATGGAAGGGTTTTGGCCAAACTTATACAATATTAGACTGGGTGTGACTAAACTTACAGTATAACATTACTGGGGACATAGGTACTTCCTTAACACAGTTTGTACTTGTGTTCTTTTTTTTACCTAAGTTCTAAATTTTTAAGGATAATTTATGGATACATTTAAATTTTGTAAAAGCGAACCTCACATTAACATATTAAATAAACTCTGCTATTCTTATATTACACCAAAGCCAAATTAATCATATTAAATTTATTATAAACAGTCTTTTTCAAGGACTTTCTTTGTATTTTACCTTTACAAAAAATACATATCTATAAATATTTATCTATATAATGAGTGTTCAATATTCCTTACCTTCTGGTTCACAGTTATTTTAGAACTGTTTCTCAATCTTGGTTTGAAATTACAGTTTCAATTATAAGTGCACTGAATGCCGAATTTGTTTGTTGAATTTAAGTGTGCCATATACAGTGTATGGCCTTTAAAAATTTTGTGCACGTTTAGAGCAGCAACATTCAATAGGTTAACTGATGATGTTCCACATGCAGGGCTTTTTGTAATTATTCTGTATGAATGAAAGGGCCTTGTAGAAATTTTTCAACTTGTTGAACATTGTAATTAAATGAAAAAAAATGTTTAGTTTTATGATTTACAATAAAACTTAATTTAAAAGAGTAACTCATGCAATTACATGGAATATTGAAAATTAGAAACATATTTTCTGTTTTCAAACAACATTCACTTTGACAGAAATACTCAATGTAATTAACTATTCCATTCTATAAAACTGGAATATATATTAGTTTATAATATCCATACTTTCTTGCAGATCTCCTGTCACTAAATAATTAACCCAGATGCACTGTTTGCATTTACTAACCAATTCTTTGCAAGAGCTAGACCAACAGATAGGACAACAGATCTTAAGTTATCATAAACAAGTCTGCACACCATAGAACCATTTTATCTAGCTCAATTGCACACGATGAAACAAGAAAATTTATTCATGGGTGATTCCCTTCTTAAAATTACTGACATCCATCCTAGATGAAGGACATTTCATATTCTGACACATTTCTTCACTATTCACACACTTGTCAAGAAATTTACCAGTGCTTGAAATTACACTACTTTCTAGCAACAGCAGACAGCTGATCTCGAATTCTGCTTAGTCCATGTAACATTGTGTCAAGCTTCTCTTGGCTTAGCTCTATGTTCACTTCAGAAACATGATTGTTATCTGTTCTATAGATCCTTGGATTTTCTAACTGATAAAATAAAAATAAAATTTTTAATGCTTTCTTCATGTACATTAAATATCAGTAATTGAAATAGCATGAATTATACATATTTTCATGAATATATTTCTCACATCTATTTCATTCTTTCAAAGTTTAAAATATATAAATTTAAAATCCTTCTATGTCACAAATAATTATAATTTACCCCAAACAAGCCACAATTTGTCTTCTGCAGATTTTCAAAAAAGCTTTAATTGCTTAATGCACATGCATAATCTTTTAGTTTATATAATTACATTTAACAGATATTTAGTGTAAGCACACTTTTAATAGAATGTATTGAATTGTTTAAATTACACTGCACAATAATTAACAGATAAGTCATTGACTAAAATAACAATATTATAAACTTTGTATAGTATTAAGAACAGTTAAATTAGATATTCAATAATTTTAATCCTTTTTAGAATAAAGTTTTGAATATTTATGAACTATAAAAACAAATTACATTTACATAATACCCTATACCTTACCTTCAAATTCAAAACACAGGCAGGAATATTAATTTTTGCTGTGTTGTTGGAGGCCATTTTGACATTTACTTGCCAGTCAAAGTCTACAAGTTTTGGTAAAGACACTTTGAAAAAGTAAAATAAAATTAGCTTCAAAATTATAAAAATGAAATGTGAAACTTTTATTGCATTAGTTATTTGTTATAAACTCATTGTTAATATAAAAATGACAAACACTACTGTTTTAGACATTAATAAAGTTGAAAAACTATACCAAAAGCCTTGTTTCTACATAATTAATATTAACTTCTTATCAGAGCTAGCTACCTACTTAGGAAGAAACTAAAAGTCAACCTGGTTATTAGTATACCTAACCAAGTATACTTTTCTTGCATTACTACTTATAAAAAGTAGAATGCACCATTTCATAAACTGAGTACACTCACTGTAAACAATATTTTTGACCATAATAGTAATTATAGCCTTGAAATCTTGGTAAAAGTATATCAAGTAGCTACATTAAATGTTAATTTATAAGCAGCTACTTCATGCATTAAAGAGTATATTCTAAATTCTTCACAATGTTTTTTTTCAAACAAGGCTTTTGTGTAGTAAATAAATAGTAAAAAAAAAAAGTTTCAACTCTGATTTTCACCTAATTGTTACCACAAGCTTTATGTGAAGAAAATGCTTCATTTCAATGTTACACAAACCAGAAGGCCAGCTGTTTTTATAACCATTTCCTACTTGGCATTAACAAACTACTTTTAACATAAAATTAAATTAAGACTAGTTAGTACTGAAATCAGCTCACACGTACACTGCAATTGTCATTAAGATACTCCTCTCCTTTGTCCTTAAGGTCTTAGATTTAAAGAAACATACATTTAAAGATTGAAAACTACAACAGTTAAGAGTAGAGTGACAAGTGCTCACAGTTTGTTACATGCAAAAAGTACAAGAATTGGGCTTTATTCTGGAATTTGAAGCTGACATGTATATTTATAGAAGCTACTGCTGAAGTTGTACATTTTCTATGTAGAGTTTGTAGGTTGGAGGAAAAAGTGAAGGGTGTACTGCACAGGATAGAAAAAAAGGTAAAATGTGGGAAATGACAGCAGGTTTTATAGGGTAAAATACAGTGGTTAATAATGAATTTCAAGTAGTTAAAAACAGTACTAATAGAGCTAGTATAATATATTTAATTAAAATGGGCAGGTTCAACTACGTAACAGATTTCAGCAGGAAGGCAGGATAATGAAAAGTACAGACAGGGATGGGAATAGAAAACATAACGTTATTTCTGTAGGAATTTCTTTACTATGGCATGTAAATTGGTCCTGTGGAGAGACTAGTCATGCTACACACTCTTCCAGTCTGATGGATGTGTTTGGGTATGGAGAATGCTTATTACCCGAGTTAGTTGTCCCAACAGTGAAGTTTGGGAGTGGCAGTATCATGGTCTGGGGGTGCTTCTCGTCTATGGACCAGGTCCACTGGTCGCAATGAATGAATATATATGAATGCAGACTCCTACATTGAAGATCTGAACAATTCTCTGTGTCCTACACTGTGGCAATCTTATGGTAATAGCCCTTAGACCTTCTAACATGATAATGCTCCATGTCACAAAGCAAGTATTGTGAACAAGTGGTTTGAAGAGAATAACATTGGAATACTGCAGTGGCCAGTACAGTGTCCCGACCTCAACCCAATAGGACATCTTTGGGATGAACTGGAATGCAGAATTAGGGCAAGGTCAAGATAGCCCTCTTCTGTAATGGTGTTTTCTAATGCTTTAAAGGAGGAGTGGAGCACAATACCTCCAGCTTTTTACCAGATATTAGTAGACAGTCTTCCATGATGCATTAAACCAGTCATTAAAGGCAGGCCAACATGCTAATAATTTCTTTGAATAAAGACATATTTTATTCATAACTATTGGTAAGATAGTGTATGTGTAATGTTTATGAAAGGTTTTACAGATACATCAATATTACTTTCTGCCAGTCAAAAATAAAATAAATTTAAATACAAATAATTTGTTCATCCTTTATGATTTTACTTTTCTAATATTAATAATTTCAGATGTTTTTAATAATGAGCATGGCAGTGGACAGATGTTTTTATTTTGGTAGGTATGTCCAATGTCTGGCTGCTTTTTTATGTTTAATTTTAAGTTTGCATAAAATCCTACAAAACTTAGAAAAAAGGATAGTCCTTGTAATCAAATGTTACCAATTATGCTTTCAATCAGGGTATTACAATGTGACTTATACGAATACAGAGCATGACTGAAACTCTTCCTTTTATGACTTAAAATGTAGTATTAACCCAGTCAACATGGGTTGTGAATCCATGTCATTGCATTTGTTGAGTTGCATTCAGAATTTTACTGAATGACTATTCTATGAATTTATGTCTATAAATTTGGTATCAAGTTGTAGATAATTTAAATTTTAATATTATACATTAGTTAATTTCTTAATTTAAAAGTAAATATGAAAAAAAAAAACATGGTATGTTGAAAGCAGCACTGGTTTAAATTAGAGGTTTGTGATGTCCAAGTACAAAGTCAATAGTTTTGTATGGATTAGGAACTCAAATTACCAATATTGACAAGCTAGAATATAAAATAAAAACATCATATCTTTTCTGTTTGCTGAGATATCATGGTTACTGAATCAAACACAGTGGCCCCCACCCACCTTTTTCCTTTTTGGAAACACTTCCTTATGTACACCTACTTCTCTCTATACCATGTGAATAACCAATTGAAAACTCAGAATGTCCCCCTAGTGGCTTTTTCAGCCATTTTGAAGTGTTAGGGTGTCAATCTCATTTCTTCGATACAAGATTTCAAGCTGATAAGATAAGTCTTTAGTGAGCTCAAAATTTCATATTTTTTAGACCCAAATACAGCTTAGTTAATAATTATAGTGGAATTCTAAGGTACTGATATGGTAAATTATGATTTTTTAGTTATTTCAAATGTATATATAAAACCTAAAATTTGATAAGTCTTAGCAACCTACAGCAACCAGCAAACAAGTACAAAGTTTGAAACTAGAAGAGATAATTGTTTGCTATACTTCTTTATTTACTGTACTATATTTTAATAAAAATAAGTTTAAGAACTTATTTGTAAATAGTAATAATGTATACACATATATAATGTATTATAACTGAAATGTGACTGTATTCTACAAAATACTAGTACACTAAAAAACAGCAAAGACGGGTCACTCTGTAAAGGCCAGTTTTACACTCTTAGATACAGTAACATGAGTGCATGTGCACTGCATTATTGCAACTTCTGTAATGTTAGCCAGGCATAGAAGGAATGTCAATATAATACAAATAATAAATATATATAAATGTATAATGTTATGAGATTTAAGCTATTTCGACTAAACATTTGTGTTTTTATGTTATAACTTTGTAGCCATTCTAGAACAAAGAAAACATAATTTGTATTTATTTCCTAATTTTTTATGGTGGTTACGAGATCAGTGAAATCTACACCTAAACAGAGATTTGTTATTGAAACTAACAGATAAAATATAAAGTTTTTCCTTAAGAGAATGTTTGATAATTATCTGAATGTTATAAAGATTTTGCATATGAAAATTGAAAATTTTCTGATGCATAAAAATACTTTTAATCTTAGAATCAAAATTACTTTGCATGTTGACTATCCAACATGCAAAGAAAAAAGGCATGAGAAAAATATTACTTAAAAAATCTTAAAACTTAAAAAAAACAACTGATATTTTGCATACAAAAGCCTTGTAACATTTACTGATAATCAGCAAAATTTTGTGAAGATACACTTACTAATATAAAAGTTATAGCATGAAAACTATAAGAAGCACAAAATGGTTATGAGGTCAGTCCCAGGGACTGAGCTCATGTTGAAAGAGTTAGAGATTTGGAACATCACCATGTTGTTAAAGTCCATGTCACCATGTTTGGACATGCTCTAATGATCGTACATCTTGACAAAAGCCCTATAAGATAGTTTTCATTTCAGAAGTCTCGATCATAAGACTGTCATGTCTAAAACACACAACTACTCCCTACTGACCATCCCTTCTCCATCTACTGTACAAGAATGATGGTTTTCCTGCTATTCTTTCAAAAATCTTAAGTGAATTCACTGAAATCCCCATGAAATGCATTCAACTACTTGATTAGTATGCTTTCATAAAGAATAACAAAAATATTAATTTAATTTTCCAGGTACTTGATGTATGTGACATTTGAACAATAGGTATGACTGAACATCATACCCTTTTGGCTTTGCTTACTTTCGGAACTCATATTTCAGGGTAGTAAAAATGGTCTGATAGTAAGAAGAATTTATCCTGACATTTGTATCCACTCTCTTAATCCTTAAGTTGCTCCTGGCTCACTATCCAAAGATGATCATGAATTCTTTCAAAAAAGTTTTTCAGGAACATGCTATGTACCACGTTTGGTAAATTTTTCACTAACTGAGATATAGAAAATGCCTTGAGACTTTCATAATTATCAAGGTAAACATACCTATGTTGGCCTTCCTTTCTGGATTTCTTATGAAAGCAGCTCTGTACACACATATTGTGTAATTATCCACATATCCTTCTTTATCATATTTTGCACTCTTGCCAGGAATAAGCAGATGGCTTTTGTGACAAACCCTTTGTGTTAATAAATTCTCACCTGTTATAAGATGTCACATTGATTATCACAGCTACGGTATGACTTGTTGTAAGTCTCTCTCTGGATGATACTGGTTACCCTAGTTTATCCACATTTCTTAATTTTAGAGTGCTATTAAGTAAAAGGGGTATCCCATCTTGAAAATTTTAAACCCTTAATCTGCAAAAATCTATGGTCTGAGTGTACAAAAAGTGATCAATTTTCAGTTGCATCAAACAAAGCTAAAATGCACATCTGATATATTTCATTCCACCATGAATTTCTACTGGTTGTGGTTGTCATGTGACTTCTTAAGTTGCATATCCAAAATCACTTTCATATAAGTACTCAACCCTATTTATCTCACTAATATAATAAAACATTTATACAGTCACACAAATAAAGAACTATAATTTAGAGTTTGGTGAACCTTGGTATAAGATCATCTACATATAATAAATTTAATGAAGAATAATGGTGTACTGCTAGCTTATGTCAACCCTAAACTTCTTGCTCCTGAGGAAGATTAATTAATATTCTTGTATTCTTGGACTGCTCCTAAAAGGAAAGTAATTGGTGCTTATCATATACATTCTCTACTCTGAACTTTAAGTTGTAGTAAGTATACCTATGAGCTTCGAAAAGAAAAAATCTTAAAAAACAGTAAACATATAGCAGATGACTTTGATAGCACCTAATAACTAACTGTATGTTGTTACAATTCACTTAGTTATGTAAGTAGCCACAGAGTATCTACTTAACAAGCTCTTAGGCTATATATTCTACATACCTAAACTGTTGATTGTGTCTGTTTTCCACTGATGAATGTTTTCAGTAATTATCTTGGATAACAGCTCTTTGAGGTTCTTATGAAAGTTTTCAGGAAATAGAGCTGCTACGTCTTTAATGGAGGAACAGTTATGAAAAACTGCTTTCTTCTCCAATTCTGCCATAGCATTCATAGTCTATAAATAAAATTACACAAAATGTTCAGTTCAATCATGTAATCAGTTAATTCACTGTCTTCTAACAACCTATAATTACCTTAGCAACTTAGCCATAGATTAAAACACAACTAATAAAATACAAATTATTAAATACACTAATGTCAACTTTCTAAAAGGCATAATTCTTATTTTTCATTATCACATAGAAAGTAAATATGACTTAGCTATTTTTTGTTGTTGATTCAGAGTTATGTAAGGTTAAATATATAATAATTCTGATAAATTTTCAACAATACTTTAAGAAAATATATTAAGTCTTCTCTTTTAATCAAACATACATTAGTCACTTTTATGCTATTTCAGTGTGACATCAAAATTTACTTATATGGGCTCTACTTCTTCAACTGTTGGTAATTTTGGTAATTGTAATAAAAATAATATGACATAGAATAAAGAAAGAAAGATCAAACACAAATGATTTGTCTTAAAGTTGAACTTTAATATAAGTACTCAACTCTATTTATCTCATTAATGTAAGAAAACTTTTATGCAGTCACACAAACAAAGAACTATTGTTTAGAGTTTGGTGATGCTGGTATAAGATCATCTATACGTAATAATTTTAATGAAATATAATGGTGTACTGTATGTGTGTGTGTGTGTTTATATATATTGAAATTATACATTTTGTTATAAACAACCAAAAATGTTTATATTAATAATGTACATTTAACACAGATTTTAAAGCTAAATTTGCAAAAAATGTCTTGAACACTGTTTTTGTGAAAAGACAATTAGATAGGGCTCAATTTTAAGGAAATTCTCAGGTTGTACTTCAGACAAAAAAACAGTCCTAAATAAAAGATCCAATTACAAGAATATTGATATACAAAGACTAAAAAAGAACTAATTACAAGAATGTTAACATTTTCCTAAATTGAAAATGGATTTCATATAATACTTTCCTTCACTGACACAATAGCTATTCCTCAACATTCACTTTTCACATCTAAGCATTGGTCTTGATTGTTCCAGTCTTTTGTACCCCACTTAAGTGCCCTTGTTGATATTTGATTTTGCAACACTCTCCACCCAGGTCAATGCACCCTCTATCCTGGTTCTGTATATAAGTACCTCACTCAGATAATGTAATAACTTTTTTGAGACTTAGTCATCCCAGTCATGTAAGACACATCCATAGGAGACTGCATCACTTCTGAGCAAGGCATACTCTTCACCCATGACAATGAAGTGTCACAATAAGGTCGGAAGCATGGGAGGGACTCCAGAAATTAAATGAAGGGACCCATGGTGTAGAATAGCTAAGGCACAGCAGACCATAAGGGGAAGTTCAACCTCAACCAATACCAATAGTATTGTAATAAGTATATCCAGCCCATGGTAGGAAGAGGGTCCTCTACCATTCACTTTAGACACAGGAATTGGAAATGAAGGTATTTTATTCCAAGGACACACATCATGATGTATGTATGTCCAAAACAACTAACACCAACATCCCTGGGAACTGACATCCTGATGAGGATAAGAAGGTAGAGAGCAATGTGAAAGTTTAACTACAATCCAGGACCAGTCAGCATTGGGAATAAATCATCTAGTTTGTGGTAGGAGGAGGGTACCTGTATCACTCACGTAGCTAGTCCAAACCTCACTTTGGAAAGCAGACTGTTTCTGATTCAGTCAATCAAAGGAGCGGCAGGGATGGCTTATGCTTTACTCATGTTAGTCCATGTGTGTGTATAATGTGGGGCAAACATATTTATGATGCAAAACACCACGAGGAAGAACCTACAAATAGTCTTGCAGAATGAACCATTGCAACAGTGAGCATTATTGACTTGAAATATTATACAGTGAACATTTAAACAGAAGTATATCTGGCCAAGCAACACTTGCAACTGAGTAGGATCTGCAAATGCAAGAAAGGCCTTTGTAAAGAAGTATAAAAAAGAGCACCTACCCACTCATAGAGAAACTGTCAATCTCAAAATGACAATGGAAGGTAGAAAGGTAACCTATAGAGCAGGAAGCAGCCAAACGATGAAGATAATGTGAAATAAGCAAATGGGGAAGTAGTCCACAAGCTGGCAACAAACTATTTTCTGTAATGGACAATGGAATCGAGCGGCCAGGGATGATTAGGTTTGATGAGAGGAGACTAGGAACAGACAATAATCATCAAAAGACAGTGAAGAATAAGCCAGGCAAATCAAACTTATAAGGATAACAGAAGAAATATCACTGACATGGATTAAGAGCAAATGTAATTAAATGCAAACTATGGAGAAAGTCTTGCTGACCAGACCAGACAAAAGCCACACATAAAGATTAAGTGTTCGATTTTGGAAGGATGCAGGGTGTCTGGAAAAGATTGTCAGAGAAGGGTGGTTAAGAAGGGAAGATATATCAATAGGAGTGAACATAGAAGTGAAATCCACAGCTGTAACACAAAGTAGCTTGAATAATGGAAAGGATATGAGGAAGAAAATGGATAGAGTGATAGGCACAGAGGTAAAGGCCCTCCCAATTATGACTGAGGGCATCAAAAGACACATCCAAAAAATGTAGAATTGGGGACCAAAACTTGGGAAGCTTGGAATGCAAGTGGGTGGTGAACACATCAATTTCTGGAGTACCCCACTGGCAACATTGCCCGATGAACCTTATTGGTTGCATGTTCTTCTCTGCAGGAAGAATCTTATCGAGACATGATAAATGATATGCAACCAGATTCAGGGCACCCTCTATATGACACACCAACAAGAGAATGTAAAGGTTATGGGCCCAAAACAGGAAGCCCATTGTTTGGAAACAATAAAAGGCCTCAACTAAGTGCTCCCTTGCCAAGCGATGTACAATACCACTGTTGATTTGTTAGAATGAATTATAACTGACTGGTTCAGGAGAGATGGGAGTGAACCAAAGCCCAATGGACATCAATTAGTTCAAGGAGATTATTATGCTGATTTGGCAATAGACCAATGGCCCCAAATTTTCTGCATGTTCAAAATATGCACCCCAACCCAAAAGAGAAGCAACCACTAAGCAAAATCCACATGAAGGGAAGAAGAGAGATGGATAGGGACATCTAACAGATTCCGAAAGAGGTTCCAATGATCTTGTAAAGCCTACTGAAGAGGTCACATGTGGGCTTGACCAAAGGGAATTAGGGCCTCCAAAGATGCCCACATTCTCAAGAGAGATAAACTTCTCACTCAGTTAGAGAAGGAGATGAGGAAATGGCCCAAACCAGAAGCTTCATAGATTGCACACAAATGGAAGAAGGATTGGCCTGACTGAGAGAGGAATTTGAAAATACCATGAGATGAAAAAAGTATTGATTGGGGGAGAGGAAGGGTTTCTCTACTGTGACCAATCTACCTACCCATACAGCTTCATTAAGAAGAAATGGAGTGTGAATGATCAGGTGGCATGCAAAGAAGATAGAAGAAGCCAGTTGACCATATTATGGTTGAAACACAAGGCCCCTGAAACAGAGAAAATAGGCAAAGGCCTTGACAACCCAACAAAAAATATAGGGGCCAAAGCTTGCTCAAACAGAAGAGTCATGAACTAGTAGATGCAACTTAAATGGAAAAAACAAAGAAAATACCATGATGCTAGGAAGATGGGAATGTGGAGGGAAGCATCGGAGATATCTAACTTTGTCATCTAAAGACCAGGAGTGAAAACCCATAGAAGAGATAGGTAAGATTCCATGGCAAATCGAGGAAGGTATAGGAAGCAGTTCATGGACAAGAAACCAATGATAGGGTGCAAGTCCCTAATCTTTTTAGGGACTACAAACAAATAGAAATAGAAATCTGGCTGAGTAGAATCTTCGTGTTCTATTGCACTGTTGTGAAGAAATTCTAGAACCACCACAAAAAGATTCTAGCTGGAAATGAGATCATGAGGGGGGGAGTAAGGATATGGAATGAGGGGAGGATGGGAACTGAAACAAAGAACAAGCCCTTCTGTACAACAACAGTTTTGTGGTGAAGAACTCTCAAATGGTGGCAAAGCTCAAATGCCTGGCCTCACTGGACTTGTGACCACTAAGTGGTCATCAGGGAAATCATGGGTGTGTAAGTCATCTACAAACAAACCGACAGTTAACTTTGGAGACATGTGTAACAGGGAGCAGAAAGTAGGAGGAGGGGAACAGGACACAGGAACAAGTTCATGAGAAAGATAAGACAAATGGGAAGTCAATGAGGAAAGGGAAGCATGAAAATGAGTAGACTCAACTCTGGCCTCTAATGAACCAAGAAGACTTCTAACGACATCTTATCATAAAAAAGGAGCCATGCTTAAGACCTGAAAGAAGATTGTGGGTAAACACATGTCAGGATTATTAAATATGAGTGGGCTGAGATTCTTCCACAGTAGGTGTCTGTGACTTCTTGGCAATAAACTCTTAAATAATTCTCTTTTCTTGTTGTTACACAGGCTAATTCAGTTACTTTAGAATCCAATTCACAAGACAAATTATTTTTCTCTATCCTTATCACAATATTATTAGCGAATAATTCACGTTACCTCATGGGTTATCACAGTCGTATCTCAAACTTTAAATAATTGCCTCCTTTTCGTCAAAGTCCACAATTACTTGAGAACACCCTTTGACAAGACAAATTATTCCCTTATCTTTGTTAAACTGTGAAACTCACTTTAAGATATCACCCATAAAGGCTTATCACTCACACACACTGGCTAACTTTATGTTTTCTTTCACTTACTAACTTTTTTCTATCTGAACTTAACTTATAACTTAATTTTTTGTATCTGCACATATTTATAACACACGATAGACAAATCTATAAATATATAGTTTTGTGAAATATGATGTCAACAACATTACAAAAGCTTACAACAATTAAACTACATACACAATATACAACTCGTACTGAGTTACACAACTGAATTTGTCATAATTCTCCCCCTTTAAAATAATTACTTTTAGCACTTTTGTTATGAAAACTAAATAATCATTAAAT